GCTTAGCAACTTGTCCAGTTGTGCAAATGCATTCTTTACATATATATTTTTAAAAGTAAAAACGTAAAGCGACTCTCTTGCTCAGCTGGTAACCTTTCCATCTGCTAATTTATAAAAAACATATATCGGTGATTATATTCTCAACTGCTGTCATATCTGCAGTAATTTAATGGAAACTATATATCTTTAAAACAATCCATTGTCTAAGTATGACAATGGATGAGGATATATTGGCGAATTCTCATCATCTTTCTCTAAAAATATAAACATATACATAGTTATTTGAATAAAATTAATATGAACCTTATGGCGGTACCCCAGGGTACCATAGTACCCCGGCTCTCACATAATGTCCGTGATGCAGTCATTTTTAGTCTGTTGATGGTCGGCGATGCGGCAATCGACTCATCTCGACGAGCTGTACACGATGCACCACTACGGTGCGTACGAGCGTTCAGGGTTTCAGCGCAATCGTCCTCGCTGCATTTCGACATCGCGGAGTGTGGCACTGATTTCGGATTGATTGCTACCCCAGTCACGGAGTCGTCCCCCCCCCCCCGTGTGTCCCAGAAATAAAATATTTAATTGCCTCGGTCATTTTGTATTATTTGGTACCCCGGGGTACTGCCATAAGAATATATTTAGTAGAACCCCTCTTAACGACGGTAATTGGTTCCACAAACCCGGTCGTTAAGTGATTTGGTCCTTAAGCGGGTACAGGAAATACACGTTAAAGTCTGAATTCGTTCTGATAGCATCGAAAAATACCCCCTTTTCACCCAAAAAGTACTTTATAATATTTTAAAATTCATATTATTACATAAAGTTACCAACAACATTATAAACACACAATATTAAAATAAACACGATTAATAAATGCAAGAATTACTATTTATTGTACCTACAACAGCCCGTTGTTAACAGGGGAATGGTTGGTAAGCAAACACATTGGAGGCCCGTCGTTAAGCGATTAGTCGTTAGTAGGGGTGGTCGTTAAGAGGGGTTCTATTGAACACTACTATACACTAAACTATACACTACACTATTATACACTACATTATACACTACACATTGGACTCTATGGAGGCCCGTCATTAAGCGATTAGTCGTTAGCAGGGGTGGCCGTTAAGAGGGGTTCTATTTTATTGTGTAACTGTATATTAATAGTGGCCTTTGACCACCTCCAATGTTTTGGGCAGCAGAGGGGCACAGCAGCAGAATAAACTGGCGCACTGTACTTCCATGCTCCCACGTCCTGTGCTCTCCACGTTCACCAACCCGCGCTGATCAGCGTGGTGAAGTATGGTGAAGTAACCCACAGACCCAGCGAGAGTCGGGAAGCCCTCGCTTTACAGGACTTAAATGTGAAACTAATAATTATTTATGTTTCATTATGTTAAAGACGGATCATTAAATAGCACACGGTGCCCTATTATTTAAAAAGATATCCACGAATCGCAGTGAAATGTTGATTCATTTAAATTCAAGAGGAAATTCACTCCTTTGGTTTTCATTTAAAGGTGCCACGGTGGCGAGATGTTAACGACCTCGCCAGGTATGCAGGAGGTCGTGGGTTCGAACCCGACCCTGATGCCTGCTGTATATTTGGAGTTTGCGTGTCTCTCTCCCCGTGTCCGCGTGGATTTTTCTCCAGGTCCTCCAGTTTTTCCCTCCCCATTTATTTGGCTGCTACTACAAATTTCCACACGATAAGCCACTTCGCTGAGCCATCATTTGTGATAGCCAGGTCGCTAATGAAAAAAAGAGCTACGTAGCTCAGTGGGACTTACTTAGTCAAATAAAAAATAGATTAGTTTTAGAGTCCCTTACAACCTTTGTCACGCAGGGCTTCATATAAACAATACAGACATACCTATGAAACAGAACTCGGGCGAAGCGACGTTCTTATAACGTTCAAAATGGGCACAGGAACGCGGACTGTGGACCCTTTAAGAAGGTTTAATACAACTGAGCACGTTTACTTGTTCGCTGTGCGATGTTCAATAATGCACTCAAGATGATTGAGAAGCAGCAGCAGTAGCCCATGTTTGGTCTCCGTGCCTACCAACGTGCCAGATATATTATTACCTGCAGCGGTGCACGTTGCACCACTTATCCACGCCTGTGGTAAACTGCTGTACTACAACGTGGCACGCTCAGCAGATTGAGTGACAGCCCTGTGTCTTGACCCGCTTGGTGCTTCTGCTCTGAATTTTTATACGGCGAGAGAGAGAGACCCGGGTGCTTGGAGACAAACTGGTCTCAGCGATGCCGTTTCCATTGTGTGCATTACGGTCACGTGTGTATATTGTCCGGCTCTATCAGTGTCACATCATGGCAACGTGATATAGGGGAGGAGGAGGTAGTGGAAGCAATGGAGCAGCAACAGGACGCTCTTTGAAGATTAAATGGAATGCTGCGACCGGCGCTTTTAGGGATAATAAAACTGATGGAGGCAATTAGAATAAACTGACGGCGTGTGCGTGGGCATGGGAAAGCATTCGTGCGAGCTTCAAGATGAGTGATTCATTGCAGAACATCAGTTAAAAATGTACGAGCGTGGTCTTAATCCGTGATCACCTTTAAGCTGAACATTAATGGCACGACAGTGGACTAATAATGTTTTCGTCGTATTGTTAAATTTAATCGTTGATTAAAACAGAGTCCTTTGTCCCCCTGTGTTGGTAAGACACGAAAGCTCAGCGCCAGTCGCCTATGCGCTATGAAAAAGGGCAATCGCCCCAAAACGTCGCACCTCATATTTTTTTCCTTTAAGGCCACAGTGTTAACTGGCGAATGTATTGAGTGTTAATTTATTTTGTTATTTGTGATTGTACACCACTGCCAACGCAGCAGCAGCAGTAGCAGCTTCAATATCAGAGTATTTATTTATACTGGATGAATCCGATGAGCTGTGAAGTTCTTTTTTCACAGGTGTCCAGTAGGGGCACAGGGTAAGAACGTTACAACAACAAATATTACAAGAACACTATAGTAGTGGAAAGTACAAGAAAGGTAAACAAATCACCCAAACAGAAACGAATGAAACTAAACCATCCCCATCCTACCAGGCAAAGCCCACTGAGGTATTCACTTGTTTTTCAAAAGCGACCTGGCCACAAATGATAGCTCAACAAAGTAGCTTATCTCGTGGAAATTTATAGCAGCAAAATAATCTATTACATTCCGGATTTAAAATGTTGAGTGCAATAACTATCAAATAACTCGCAAATAACTAGCAGAATTACGAATCGCCTCTCAGTGACACACACGTGTGTGCGTTGAATCTTCGTGCAAAAGTTATGCGCGCACGCACGCACGCACCAAAGCAGCGCTGCAATCCTGCCAACGTGAGTTGGGTGGCGCATCGAGGCTACTGAGAGTGCAGGAGGCTCGTGGTGCGCTGCGATTTGAACATCGCAGCCTCGCGTTGACTGTACTGGCCAAGGCTGACACACACAAAAACCCCTATCGGTGGTAAAGCGAGTGATGCTCTGAACTACAGTCTGCGATCCCATGAACGGGGACCACTGCACTTACCGGCGTGATTAAAGCTCAGGAAGGCCCCGAATGTGCGACACGGGCGTGGCAAGACAGCCCCTCATTCAACGGCGGACTGGCAGAGAGAAGCAAAATGATTGTTGCCGTACGTTCCCTTAAAAATGTTCCGTTTCAATATTTGCAGTTGCGTGGACACTTTGCGGTTAGCTCCATAAACACGTGGCGTGTATTTAAATGTGATCTTAACCGGTCCTTGGTCACCCCTCACCAACCAACCCAGATTGGTGAAGTATAGTCACCCCTTCCCCCCCCTGAAATGGATTAACACCAGTGCTTAGATAATTATTCAATCGGTTAAGCGTAAATGAGGTGATATGTATTACCGGCCTAATCTTAGGCATCCCATACGTTCAGCATCAACGTGCGTTCCAGTTGAATATATTATTATGCCCGCGCGCCAAATTCGTTTTTTCCATTATAGATCGTCCACTAGCAATCACGCAATGTGCGGGGCCGCATTCCCACATGGGTCGCGCATTGATTGAGATTCAGCAGACTCGCTAAAAAGATAACGTATTCCAATTTTAGCCGGTTAATAGACTTACGAGCGCAGCTTATTGTAAGTAAAAAAAAATGCTCGTCTCTGTAGTTACCCGCCGCATGATTGTGAAGTCGTGAAGATGAACCCGCGTTGCGCACGCCCACGTGACGCGCGAGCGACCGGTGATATTTTTGTAACGCGGATTCGCCACGCCGCTGCCTCGCCGTGACCAGCGCGATGCGATTTGGTGCCCGCTACACGCGGGCTGCACGTAATGCGAAGCAAGCCCCCCACCCCGCCGCTCCCCCCCCCCCCGTTATTGATTGCGCCGTTTGAATGTCGGCAGCGAAACGCAGTCAAAAAATTTTGATTTACAGTTTTGAAACGTACAATAGAACGGGGGGGGGGGGGGGGGGGGGGTTAGCGCCGGTGATTAGCGCCGAAGCGCCACAAAGTCCGGGCACGGCTAACATCAGTGACGAATTTTATCTGAACCAATTCTGTCCCCCCGCCTCCCCACCTCACCCCTCCCCACCCCTTCACTAAGCCGCAATTCCCACCATGGTGAAGTGTGCGTAAAAAAAAACACCTTCACTTCATCCAGCTGTGGATTGTACAAAGGGTTACAAATCATATATGTTATGCGACTGTTCATTACGGCGTACTTTGCGCCCGGTACGTGTCACCACCCGAAAGTGAAAGAGGCAACTCACACTTCTCATGGATAGAGAGAGATGAGGGGGGGGGGGGACAATGTCAAATACCCACATCAGGGATTGCCATATATTCAAATTGACCGATCCCCGTGTGTGCGCAGCAGTTGTGATGCATCCAAACGTAGACGTCACGAGCGAGACAGCGGGAGGAGGGCTTGAAACAAACAAACAAAGCAATTGTCAGGGTCATCCGGCTGACAAGGCGATTCATTGAGGTTTGCTTTTCGGTTGCTATTCGCGCTTTTCCCCAGTTGGCCGCACCATTCTAAAGTGCGCGTGGCCGGGTCCTCTGCAGCAGGCTCCCCTGCAAGCAGAATACTGATGGCACATTCTCCACCAGGAGGTGTTTCTAAGGCAGACGAGATGCGCAGCACCGCACGCCGCCGTGTGCACCTGTTCTCCGCTCTCCGTGGCTGAGAAGAGAGAGAGAGAGCGGTGCCGTTGCTGTGACAGACAGACAGAAGATAAAAAAAAACCCGCATAGGCTGCTTTTACTTCGGAAGCGCGATGCAGCGAGGAGCACAGGGAGCCTGCCGCATTAACAGTCGCGCGCGCGCGAAATCGTGAGATGAGCGGACGAGGCTCCGTCTATTCATGCGGCACTCCTGAATCCCGTTCGGAATTGTGGAGGCGCCAGAATGCGATCGATGGTCGTTGTCGCTGCCGTGTGGTGAAAACTGGGTTCCTCGGGAGAAGAAGAAAAAACATTACAAAGGCCGATCGCGTTTTTTGGACAAAGAGGCTCGCTTTACTCGCTGTCACGTCCTCTGGATGGACGTGAAATATTGACCTGCGTTAATAAATCGGAAACCCCTTTACCATCATCCAAACAACGCGTTTGGGTATATTTACAACAACAACAATTTCGGAAATTCTCGACGCCAGGGCATTTATTTCTCTTCAGTCATTAGGGGGAGGGGGCTGGTGGTGGGGGGAGGAAACAAACTGAAGCCGGGAGAAGAATAAGCGGCGATCGCGCGAGAGAGAGGAGGAGAGGGGGCGGGTGTCGAGTTCGCCGAGCGCTGTCCGTGGTTCTGAAACTCCAATTACGTCTCGAGTTTGTCAACCCAGCGAGCGAGCGCGCGCGCCGTGTGGGCTCGAGATTAGCGGTGCGGGGGGGGGGGGGTCAGCGTTCCATTCCAAGGCGGAGGAGCGGGCACTGTTCGGCCCCTTTGGCTGGGGGATGACAACTGAATCGACGGCGGAGTCTGCCGCGTGGAATATAATAGGTTCATGAGAAGAGGAAGAGAGGTTGGGCCGAGAGCAAGCATGGAGCTCAAATTCCCGTACAGGAAGACGGACTCAAAACGCCTGCGCAGATAATTTAGGCCGAAATTTTGCGCATCTTTATCGGTGTCCAGAGGAGGTCTTTCCTTTGCCCATCCTCGAAGGGAAAGCACATCGTCCTGCGCTCTTCCGGCGTGTTGGTAGGTGCACTCCTCTGCAAAGCGACACAATCCGCGCGCCTCTGTTTGTTAAACCGACTGATACGCACATGCACACATTAGCGGCGTGTTTTAATATAAGGCTGCATAATAATCATAATAATGAACAAGTGTCACCAAATTGAACTCGGCTTGTCCATTCGTGAAATCGAGGTGGCGTTTGATGGGTCCCATTGTTCACCGGCAGCAAATATGTTGCGCGCTATCTGCAGGAGCGATAAGCCGTGGTCACCCTTGACGTGCGTTCGCCGCTGAGGCCGCGGCGGGCGTGCAGGCGCCGTGCAGGCGCCGTGCGAGGCCACTCGGGAAGAGTTCTCGGCGCCCTGCAGGCTGCGCGAGCCCCGCGCGTTAAGCAGTGGCCACGCGCCGCGCTCACGCACATTGCATCTTCGCCTCCGCGATGATGACGTTCCGTGCCTTAAATCGGCACCGCGAAGCCGGACCTATTTGAATGTGTCTCTTCATTAGCCGCGCAGTCGTCATTTGTTTATTGTTGTTGTTGCAAAGAGGCAAACGCGACTGTGGTCTCCCTTGGGTGCTGGGGGACACGATGCGTAACTTTGAATTCGTGCGGCTATTATCGGAATGGCGAATTATGCCATTAAGCGCTGCTATTTCTCTCCCTCAAATTGACATACGAATGACGATTGCGTCATGCCCCTTAAATAGATAATATTGAAACAACTGTAAATAACGTTTTAAAAAATGCACGATTTAAATGCAAAGCTAAACCGTAACGAGCTAAAGATTACGAATAACTTAATATGCATTCCTTTTGAGTTCATACAAAAAAAACCCAACATGATATTTTATTTACAGCCTCTTCCATTTTCTTTGGTTCTTTCGGTAAAGTCACGTAGAATGAGAATAAAATAATAAATTGATAAAATAAAATAACACAATAATATTTTATTCTCATTCTACGTGACTTTACCGAAAGAACCAAAGAAGATGAATCATTGCAGTCACGAAAGCTTTAAATCTAAATATAGCCTCTTCCATTCCCTTGTATTACAACCATGCGTTAGCCTCGGGCTATTTATAATTTGTATTGAACCCATAACACACGTTACCTTTTGCCAAACTTGTTTGCCAAACAAGTAATGCACAGTGGCCTGTATTATAACAAGATGCTATCTTCCAGAACAATGCATTTCTAACGCGTATGCAATTTTAATATAACTGCGTCCATGTAGCTGCTGCTGCTATAGCACCACCTTGGATAAAATTCAGTTTTTGCTGGAACAACAGTTGCCCAGACATTAGATCCGAGCATTTAAACCCCAACTTCGACAGACCTAGCCGAGCATCCCTCTGCACTGATGTAAAACAAAACTAAAATAGCAGCACCTCCCGATAACCTCAATTTTCCGAGTGGGACATGAGCAACGATAAGTAAGGGGCCTTATGCGGATGTTGCAACTCGCGGCCACAGGCACAGTGGGGAGGGGTGTGGGAGATGTGCGTGCCGAGCCACGGTGCTGGCGAAGCGTTCTTGAGGCGGGCGCTCGGGCTGACGGTCTCCCGGGATGCGCAGCGCGGCCCGCACGCGCCCTCTGTCGGACCTTCCCCCGCTTCTCTCAATCGAAAACTCATGCCGTGCCCCCCACACTCCGCTACACCCCCTCCCCCGCCACAATTGCATCGTTCACTTGAGCGTGTAACATACGGCTCGGTCATCTCTTAGTCTTCCCACACTTTTTGTATTATTTTTCCAGTTAAGGCCCCCAACTGAGCTAATAATAGCTCTTTTTTCAGACGCGACCTGGCTACACATGATAGCGCTATACGAAGTGGCTTATCGTCGTGTGGAAAATGTATAGCGGCAAATTGCTCTAAACGAACGCATGTTTCTAAATGTGTAAAGGGGAAAAAAAACCGGAGGACCCGGAGAAAAATCCACGCGACCACGGGGAGAGAGAGAGACGCAAACTCTAAATATACAACAAGGCGTCAGGGTCGGGATCGAACCGACGACGTCCTGCATACCAGGCGATTACTTTAGTTGACAGTGCTGTGCGTCCTAATGCAGAGGTTGGTTGCTACCACGCCGCCTTGCCCAATTCCCCGTTGTGTGAAGCGGGGAATCTGGTGGGGAAGATCGGATCCTCCCTCTCCTATGCTCCGTGCGTGCTCCCTTCAGCTCGCATTGTGTCGCGCCCACTCCCCGCACTCAGATGCGCATGCTAACTCCTCGTGGTAATCGGTATTTTAGGATACACGTGTGTTCCCAAGTTACGCGCGTGATAAATTATTGCATTTTAAAGGGCCAATTAAAAACGCGTAGCTTACTTTGTCTCGCTCTCTGTCTCACTACGGCATGAACGCAATTGCTATACCAACAACAACAACAAAATCGAGATGCAAATATTTGGCAGCGTTCTTGAGTGGGATGATTCTTTTCAAGGATGTGTTTTAATGAATCGATTTCCCACCCGCCTATGCGCGCATACAAACCTTGCAGGTGATGACTCATTCCCAACAGGGTTGGTTTACTATTGTAACCTTTTTTGACCTACAGGCAGCATGCACGCGACAATATAGCGATTACAATCGCCCTACACAACGCAGCCGCCTGCAAATAGTATGTACATCCATCGGCCAGCGCAAAAAGATACGTAATAGAATGATTGCATTACAGACTTCTCAAAGTTGAATTATGGGCGATATGTCAGCGTGTCCGGCGGAGTGACCTGAGATTGCCTAGGGCCAGCGTGAGACCGGGGAAGGGAACCCACTCTCACGCCCGTGAAATGCGTGAGAACGGGAACTGCCACCGTGAGAGGTTGGGTTGGCATGCTGAATGTGCGAGGTTCGAGATTGGCTCCGGTGCTTCATCACAGTATTATGATGATGTATCCGGGCAAGCAGCGTCGCGGATACAAATAGCCATGCTATTCTACTCTTATGATGGCAGCAATATATATGTATTCTCAGGAGATGAATGCCAATGTCGAGTTCTGATAGCCAAGAAGAGAGGGCTTCGAGAGTACGCGTAGTTCTCCCCCCACCCTCCTCACCCTCCTCCCCCTCCTTTTTCTCCTCCTCCTTTTTCTACTCCTCCTCTTTCGACTCCTCCGTTGAAGCAGTGTAGACTACTACAGTGGTTTCCTCTGTGGTCCATAGATTTTGGTTGCATGGCCACAATCGCACGAATACTGCCACAGCTTTGCTGTCCTTGGCCAACGGAGAGCTCGCTCTCTCTTTCGCAGATGGCACCGTGCTGCTTTAGCATGGGCACTCGCGACCTCGTCGGATGCCTCCTCCACCTCCTCCTCCTCACCCAGCTGCTACTGCTGCCGCCGCCGGTAGCGGAGAGCGCAGCGGGGGACCCCGCCGCTAAAGGGAGCGACCACCCCGTGGTGAATGTCGCGGTGGTGTTCGGGGGTACCTCGTACCTCCTTTTCACCAAGGGCGCCGCCGACAGGAAGGAGCTGCCGAGCCTGCCCATCTCGGTCAACGTCATCACGTCGGTCATCAACGACACGAACCCCGTGAGCATCATGGTGGAGCTGTGCGACCTCATCGCCCGCAAGAAGGTGCACGGGATCCTGTTCGGAGATGACACCCACCAGGAGGCCATCGGCCAAGTCCTGGATGTCTTCTCCTCCCAGACGGCCATCCCCATCCTGGGCATCTACGGAGGGTCGTCGGTGGTCATGAGCAACAAGGTAAGAGGGCGCTCCAATGACCCTCTCCTTCGTACGTGTGTATATGTTGAACTTCTTTCGCACCATACGTAACCAACCGTGCCTCTACAGGCGCTCCGGCACATACGCGCAGGGGGGCAGTATGGGCTGTCACCCACCCATTTGGCAGACTGAGGGAGGGGGGGACAGAAGTACATTCAACTCTATTCCAAGTGTGGTGTAGGGTGGATTGAAAAAAAGGACACGGTATATTGGGAAGAAAAAAATATAATACTACGTAACGTATTGCCGTGCATAAAAAATACACAATATACTGCATAATGGTATTCTGCAGCATTCAATGTGCATTGTGTGGTACGTAAAAAGTAATGTCATGCATTTAAACTGTACATTAAAACGTTGCGCTCGAATCGCTGATAGCATGGCGTAAATCGTCGTCAGTTCGACGGGAAAGTTATGCCACGTGGCGCGTCGACGTGGATTTAGTGAGCACGGGGGGCACTGATTGGCTCTCAAGACCACGTGCTCTCACCGTGCATGCAGAATGGAGTGGTGTCCATCAAAATAGCATACACATGGCTCTTTTTCTGCCCCTCTATTTTATGTAATTTGGCCCGGGATGTTCTGTTTTCTAACCGGTATAAATACCGGCCTATACTGCCCAGATTAAACATTGCTTTAAGTCCCTCAATACGAGTCACCATGGATTGAGGCCAGTTCAGAATCAGACTATATTTTAGACTGGAGGAGGAATCTGATGAGCTATGAAGCTCTTTTGTCCCCCACAAATGTCCAGTATAGGGGGCGGATCAGCAACAACAACAAAATTGTAATCAATTATAATCCTACAAGGGTAGGATAAAGACAAATTTAAGCAGGTTGCTAACCAACAACAAACTAATTGTGAATAGAGCGTGGAAGTACAAATTGCACTCGTACATAAATTCCGAGTGCAAGCTTGTGCATGGCAGCAAAACATCAACAACAACAACTATCCAAGACGGCACCAAGACAACAAAACACAGCCCCTCGATAACATTGCATTTTACAATTGAACCATCGATATCATGGGTAAAGGTTCCCAGTTTCAAGTCACAGTTGCAAATGTGCCTTTATCTGGCATCAATATCCGATGTAAGGATATTATTCGAAGGAATAGATTTACGAGGTTAAGGATTAGGAAACAAGGTTGTTACAAAAAGTTGGTGCTGTAAAGGCAACAAGTTTTTTTTATCACCTTTTCCAATTCTTGTTCTATGGATAGTTAAAAGGCAATTACACGGACTTCTTAGGTTGAGTTAGCTTTAACCGTAAATAGCGTGAAAAATCTGTAATATGTTAAATTAAAACACAAAGTGCACTATTCATGTCATGTATTGGTGAATAAGCTTTGGTGCGAGAAAGTAACCCAAAATAGTAATTAGTGTCGTTAATAATAAAATAGATAAGCAGAAACATGACTGAGATGATGAGATTATCCACGCCTAGAAAACGGTGGGCCCGACGGATTGTGTAAAAAAATTGTTTACGTAGAAATACATAAATTGGAAGGGTACATATTATCTGCATATCGATACAAAAAATAAACAGCGTCACACGGTCGAGAACGCTGTAGCCAAAGGATTCACACAAAATAACCGTGTGGTGTAATCCGAAAAGATCACCTGAACCATTTAGGAAGCTGTTTCGTGGCGTATCACCTCCGCTACAGTGCCTCCATGCAGATGCTCATCTCCTGCTATTTGGCAGCCACCGCTCATCGCTCAAGTGTCGTGACGGGTACCGCAAGATCCGACCGCGACCATGTTCGCCCAGTGCTTGCCGGGCCGCATTGGCTTCCGGTTGCCAAACAAATACGTGATGAGGTCGCGCTCATTGCACACAAAGTGCTTGCGACAAATGAGCCACAATACCTTGCTTATTTCGTGAAGGAGCATCAACCAGCATTAGGCGGACTCCAGTCATTCTCGCAACAGCGGCTTTTGGATGGCCATCGAACAAAGACAGTCACCGCATCGCTGCACATTCAGATGCTCTTTTGCGGCCGTCTGGAACGCTCTTCATTCCGATATTAGGAAGCCACTGGAGCTATGCCCTTTTAAATCATCATGTAGAATGAAATCTAATTTCTTGAGAATTGCTTTTCGTGTTTAGTTTGTTGCTCTTTCCAACGCACCTCCGATCAGCACGGTTGGCTACGTATGGTGCAAAAGAAGTTCAATGTACACACACCGTGTGCTCTGCTGCGACAACATCCCGTGTGGAAAACCTCTCATGCACCTGGGCACGTCCAGCGCGCTCTGATCCTGACCCTTGTAGTATCGATAGTTCAATTTGAATTTATTGTTGTCTTGGTGGGGTCTGGGACTGTTGTTGTTTTGATGCCTTGCCCAAGCTTGCATTTAGTGTTGAAAAATTGGCAGGATTTTATGTACTTATGCAATTTGTACAGTACTTATATGCATTACTTATTTTTATTTATTCATACAATATTCGTGACTTGCTTACATCTTCTCTACTTTGCACTCCTATCAGGATGTTGTAACTTGCTGACCCGCCCCTACTGGATATCTGTGAAAAAGAGCTTCATAGCTCATAGGATTCCTCCTCCTGCAGTCTAGATACCGATTGCGATTCTGAACGAATGACAATCGCACTGGCCGTCTTAATAACCTTCACTTAATGCCCGATGATAGCTCGCTGTGAGAGCGGAACCTTCGGGGTCGGATGTCGACTTTGTAGCAAATACAGGGTTTAGCAGAAGGAAGGAAGAGACAGCGACGTGCGGCAGCATCAACAGCACTGGCCGTGATGACCTCTTGACCCTGTCCTTGACCATAGTTCCCGAAGCATGAACTCATAGTCGTGGCCACTATTATACCAGCGAGTAAACGAGCAGAAGAAGGGACCCTGCGCAGGTTCTTCACACGGCCTTCTGCCAGTCTCAGAGTACTACAAACGATTTAACTTTTTATTTTATTTTTTGATTTAAAGCTTTCGTGACTGCAGTAATTCATATTCTTAGTTTTTTCGGTAAAGTCACGTTGAAGAGAAACAACAGAATAACAAAATATATATAAAACAATAAAAAATTCTCACGACGTTTCGACCATAACTCAAACGGTCATCATCAGGTGTGTCGGTTTGCATAAATTTATTTTTTAAACGGCACAATTATTTATTTATATAAAAAAATAACGTTTGCGTCACGCGCAGCGATTGGCAGTTTGCCCAGGACTAGTCCATCTATTTTTTGAAAAGAGGAGGGGGGAGACGAATTTTTTATGTATGCTGTCTGAAAGCCACTGTAAGCGTGAACAATCAATCAAGAACTGAAATGATTTATCAAATCTTTCCAATGATTGCTAAGATAGAATCCATCTTCTCGGTTGAAATTGTCTCTGTGCTTGTATATGTGGATAGCCTCATGAACGAATCTCTCATGGAAGCCAGATGGCTTACAAAGAACCTCCGTCTTGGAAAAGTCAATGGCATGTGAGCCTACTGAATTAGAACAATGATCTGCTACGGCCGAGGTGTTGGTCCTACCGTGTTTAAGGTCTGCTTTATGTTCACGAATGCGGTCCGAGATATGGCGTTTGGTTTCTCCAATGTAACTACTACCACAGAGGCAACTTAGTTTGTAGACACCAGGGTATTGTATGTCCGTTTGAGTTATGGTCGAAACGTCGTGAGAATTTTTTTTTGTTTTATATATATTTTGTTATTCTGTTGTTTCTTTTTATTTTATGTTACCAGGTAAGGCCCACTGAGCTATGTAGCGCTTTTTCAGAAGCGACCAGGCTATCAAAAATAATGGCGCAACGAAAGTGGCGTATCACGTGGAAATTTATAACAGTAGCCAAATACTCTTAAATCAATGGTTCTTGACCTTTACTGCAGGCTGCACCCCTTTGGTTCTCAGAAAGGGTGTCTCGCACCCCTAGAGGGTGCGTGCACCCCAGGTTAAGAACCACTGTCTTAATCGCATGATGTTGACGTGGAGGGAAAAACCCAGGTTTCAGGGGTCGGGATCGAACCAATGACCTCCTGTATACCAGGCGAGGTAGTTAACACCTCCTAGCCACGGTGGCACCCCCACGGTGGCGAGATGTTAGTGGTGTGTGGAAAAAAGGGGGGGGGGGGTGCTGAAAGCGTGGCGCTAGAGGTGAGGGGCAGGGCCGCGATAGAAGCGCGGCACGGATAAGGGTCTCGTTCAAGGTCACAGAAGGTGAGGAGAACAGTCCCTTGGGTGGCGGTGACGGTGGCGGTGCTGCCACTGCTACTGCTGCTGAAGGGGGCGGGGGGGCATTGGCAATCGTGAGCGCGTGATTTTCTTTCGCGCTCTTTAGTGCACGTGGTGTCTCTCTACGCAACACTGAATACCGTCCAATTGAAAAATATAATTACCTTTTTGACACACGTGTACGTGTATATACCTTTAACTTGTCTCACACCGTACATAGTCAACCATGCTAAGTGGTGGTATTGGGGGAAGGACACCAACACTAAACACAAAAAAACCACATGTGGAGGGCATATTATTTAAACGACCATTTAAACTATTTACGGTGTAAATGATTCCGTGAAATATTAATAATTATATTTAAGGAAAACAAAGTAAACCATGAAAGTCTCATCAACAAATGCCACAAAAATCACAGTGAAAAGTCATCGCAGGCACAGCAAAGCGCCCAGGTTTAATTGAAACCACGCACGTTAGTTTAACGAGATGTGCTAGACGTCGATTTTTTTGTGCAATTCTATTGCTCTAAAACCTTACAGTCGTTCTGCTCCCAACGAGACCACATCTATAATAGAGGTTTTTGTTGTGTTAAATCGCCTCAATTAAAATGTGTCGTTAAACTGCCACCACCCGATACAGTCAATTACTAAGGCTTGTCACGTGAACAAAACTTGCCAATTAGTGACTAGTTCAGTTCACCGGTGTGTTGGAAAGTAAACCCACTGCAACATTTACAATTCAAGTCACCGTGACGTTTCGCCGGTAATTACAACAA